TACTTTTTTTCTCCACTTCTTCTTCTTCTTCTTCTTCTTCTTCTTCTTCTTCTTCTTCTTCTTCTTCTTCTACTACCACTTCTTTTAAGTCTGCTATTACTTCTTCTTCTACTACTACTTCTTCTTTTACTACCTCTTCTTTTTCCTCTTCCCTTTTTCCTCTTCTTCTTCTTCTTCTTCTTCTTCTTCTTCTTCTTCTTCTTCTTCTACTACCACTTCTTTTTAGTCTGCTATTACTTCTTCTTCTTCTCCTCCTCCTCCTCCTCCGTATTCTTCTTCTTCTTCTTGTTCTTCTTCTTCTTCTTCTTGTTCTTCTTCTTCTTCTTCTTCTTCTTCTTCTTCTTCTTCTTCTTCTTCTTCTTCTTCTTCTTCTTCTTCTTCTTCTTCTTCTTCTTCTTCTTCTTCTTCTTCTTCTTCTGGTTCGCCTCGAGTCAATAGCTGGCCGGGGCTTCTTATTGTACATCGGATACATGCTTTGTATGTTTGTGTATGTTCTTTCCATGTATCTGAATTTCATTATACATGTATTTTCAATATGTCATCGTAAATTTGATTTCGCATCGTAATTTTAATCTATATATTTCTGTTTTTATTTGTTCTATTTTAAGTATTTTCATTAATGTCCTCAATCTTGGCCATGATTGAAAACAGATTTGCTGATCATGTGCTTATCCTGTATAAATATGTTTCAATAAAATACAAAATAGCTTTAAACAAAATCGTCTTGAATTGAAAAAACAATTTCATAATTTTCAATGTTTGATGCATTCATGTCAAAAAAGAGTTTACAGTATGAATAAAAATAAAATATTTCAATTAGATTATGTAAGAAGTTTAAATGTATATTGTGTAAATGTTTGGGTTATACAATTATTCCGTGCATTAATTTAATAACAATATTATTATTTTAACGTAAGTGTAAAGCAGAAATACCTATTTTATTAATATGATTCATTGTTTATTCTTAGTCTCTCAGTGATTAATTTATTTCCGTAAATTACGGTGTATTGAACAGGGTCAAATTTGGGACTTTAACAAAAATTGCGAAAACTTCACCTCAAAATTGATGACCCGGCCCCCACCCCCTTTTCTTTTTTAAACCCCTGTCAAAAATTAAAAAAAACGCATATCCTCCCCCACCCGTCAATTTATGTTGTAGGGAAGATTTTGGCAGACCGCCCTAAAAATTGTTGTAACGCCTCATAAAACAAATGCATGTGGGGGGGGGGGCGGTAACCGAATAAACAAGAAAATAAAACAACGGCCAACGAATGAACAAAAGAAAATTAAGCGTTTCTAATGAAATATAGAAAGTTGAGAATAACGAGGATTTTTTTTTGTTTACCCACCTTTGTTTACTCGTACATGGTTAGGACTTGGGTTGCGATTGGGTTTGGGTGTAAACTGGGTTTGGGGTGGGGATTTAGGCTTTCTGTCGAGTTCCAGGTTGAAGTTTGATTAAGACGATCGCAAGTACTTCAGAAAAAAAAAACTACCCGAACCAATGCCAATAGCCAAGCGCGTAGCCAGGATTTCATTTTAGGGGGGGCGGTAGTGAGCACGCGAAGCGTGCGAATCACTTTAAGGGCGCGCGAAGCGCGCTCCCTAGGGGGGTGGGTGCAGGGAGGGGGGAGTTTCCCCCCTCCCGCGCGAAGCGCGGAAGCTTTGAAAGAAGACGATTCGTTTTACCTTTCTCGACTCGTAATCCTTAATTTAAACTCAGTCTCCCCCTTCCCGCGCGAAGCGCGGAAGCTTTGACGAGTCGTTGTACCTTACCCGACTCTTAATCCCTGTCTGGATTCTGCCCCCCCCCCCCCTCTCGCGCGAAGCTTTGACGTTTCATTAAATTATTAGAGAATGAAAGCGATTCGTTGTACCTTTCCCGACTCTTAATCCTTAATTTAAACTCAGTCTCCCCCTTCCCGCGCGAAGCGCGGAAGCTTTGACGATTCGTTGTACCGTTCTCGACTCTTTTTCCCTCTTTCTTCCTACGTCCTCTTTCTTTTTTTTTCTTCTCTTTCTCTCTCTTTTTTCTTTTGGCCGGCGTTTTGGGGGGGGGGCGACCGCACCCACCGCCCCCCCCCCCTGGCTACGCGCCTGCCAATAGCCTCGTGCGTCACCCAGTGAAATATGCGAAAATGACGATGTCGTTATTACGTAATCAAAACATGACTATGTGTATTATGTAATCCGAACATTAATCCTATACAAGAGGAATGAAATTAATGTTGAGTTGATTGTTCGAAATTAGTTGCGATCATGTTGATTACTATAGGACTGCGTCATTAGTGACGTTATCCTTCTAATTAACTTCATTCTCTTCCACAACCACGGCCAGACATCATTTCTTCTGCTCTCACCACGTGTGTAGTCCAAGCGCGTGCGCAGGATTTTTTCGAAGGGGGGGGGGGGGGGTTAAAATTTGAAAATCGCGCTGAAAATTTCGCAACGACTCAGCCGTTGAAAAAAGCAGGGGGGGGGGGGGTTAGAGCACATTTTTTGGGGTGTGTGTCCTTGAAATTTGGCCGATCGATATTTCGTACCGTTGGGGGTTGGGGGGGCAGGGGTAGGTCACCTTTTTTTTGGTCACCCATTAGCAAAAAAAAAAAAAAAAAAATTATTATTAATACAAAAATTGAGGGGGGGGGGGGGTTTCCTTCAAAATATACACACACAAACAATTTGAGGGGGATTCGACCCCCCCCTCCTGCGTACGCGCCTGGTGTAGACCTTAAACGGATTTGGGTATTATTTTTTGGTGTACCCGTTTCAATTTTCTTCACTCATTTACCTTACCATGCAAACCTATAAAGAACATGAATTACATTTCTCACGCTACATGCACAAATAACTCTAAAATCAAAGATACCATCATAACTAGAGAAAATATTTCAAATTAACTCGTATCAAAATCTTGCTTCCCACTGTAACCACTTTGACAAAATTAAATATAACTTCAAATCCACTGAAAAAAATCATGAATTTCAAAAGATTTACTACTTCAAGACTACTAAAAGAAGCAATACATAAATCAATTTTTTAAAAGGGGTTTTATAGCTTTATTCACGTTTGGGCAGTATGTTGCATTTGAAGTTACAGGATAAAAATAATCCTGATATGCAGTCTGCATTCATAGAGAAAAATCACACATTCACAGAGTTGATTTCAAGTTATTTCAAGACCCTGTTCAACTAGGTCGCTCGTATATTCATATATCTATATACATATGATGGCATGCACTAATATTTTATTCAATCTTCAGCAAACTAGTTGAATTGAAAACTTGATGTCCACAAACTTCTACTGAGATTACTTAATCATATAATCACGTCATCTTCATGATTTCTTCATAGTACAATATAACACTTAATACTGACAAAAAGGGATAATCAATTAAATTAATCACACGTTCCCCCACTTCGGTCCATATGACTTTGATTTAATACTGACAAAGGGGCATAATCAATTTAATTAATCACACAATTCCCCACTTCAGTCCTCATGACTTTAAAACAGTAATGTCCAGCATTAACCCAATGGTTACTGAATTGTCATATTCCCTACAGGTTTAACGTAGAAACCACCCGGTTCCAGTTCACAAAGGGTTAATAAAGGGAAGTATTTATGTTGTTAAGAGCTGCAAAAGCATTCAAGCACCAAAGTGAAACGTCCTAAATGGGAGGGGGCATATCACAAGCATATACATTGCATATATGATACATAATTTAGTTAAAGGTAATACAAAGTTTTGGGAAATTTTGAAAATTGGGTGGATAGTGATTCTTTACAATTTGGATATATTTGGATGCCCCTGTGGATGTATTAAAAGCACTAGAAAATTTAGCCTCTAAAACACTTCTGCTTTCGAGAAAAATTGAATATAAAGATTTACCGGTGCTCCCGGTAAATTTTGATAAAATTTCAATAAGCGCCTACGGCCGTACAATGGTAGCTGCGACCATGAAAATCTCAGAATATGTAGATGTGATATATAACTTCCAAACAAGAATAGCAAATTGGTCGATTTTAGTCAAGAAACATTGTTTTATAGCTTAATTAATATATTGACCTTGACAGGGAGCTATACAACAAAAAGAGTGTATTATTTACAATTTCATAACTTTAAACTCGATTTCAACCGCGACAACGATCACTGAATATAGTAGGATCGCATATGCTTCCAATATGTTCATTTGTACCAAATTCATGACCCCATACCAAAACTTTGTATTACCTTTAATACCCAGATTATTGGAGGGGGTGCCCCCATCGACCCGAGGTATGAGATTCATGTGCACAAAAGACTGGTGATGTATGTGAATCCATCACCTCCAGGAGTCAAGTCGCCTCCTCATAACCCTAATAAGGCCTGGGGGGGGGGGGGGAGGAGGGGGCATTATGGCCCCTCTCCCCCTCCACGATTTTTCAAATTGTTCGGGAACGATTTAGGATGATGCATAGGTAGGTAGCGTAATTGCTATGAAATGGAAAAACATCCCATGACCTGTATCGCATCATTGGCTTTACGTGATTCTCAAGGCTCTGCGTCGATTGACTGTGTGACTACATCCTGAGTTTACCAATATTTACCATCTCATTTTTGTATATGGCTTCATTACTGAATACTAAACAGTTAGATGGGACAACATCAAGCTCGTTAAGAGGCTTAAAGACACAATGTATTTCACATCATGGCCTCCCAAAGAGAAAGGTTAAAGTACTTGATTTGTTTTTCCACAGTTCAATTCAATTCCATCAAAACACAAGACAGAAATAAACGCAACTCATGGTGGAATTAAGCATACCTTGCTCAGAAACTGCATGCACATGCAGTGGCACATGACTACTTATTAGTTTTCATTGAGGATACAAAGTGTTGAATATTATTATAATAACCCCTCAGGCTGGCTAAATGTATATCCAAGCTTCCCTTAAAAATGTGCTGAAGCATGTCAATAAATTTCTTTCCATCAAGTCCCATTCCTCACCTGGGTTGAGAGTTACAGTTATGGATAAATGTCTTAACCAAGGAACATTAGTGTACTGATGCAGTAGGGACTTGAACTCAGTACTCTAAAGCCTATCTTGATGTTAACCGGCTTAGCCAATATAACAGTTACAGTATCAGGATGGACAAAATTAATGCAAGTGTATTTTATTTTAGACACTGTGATATGACTCTTAAATACCTACATGCTATTTGTTTTTACTCAAATTTGGACTACAGGCCTTACATTTGTAATATTTGTCATATTGTTCGGGAACGATTAAGGATGACGTATAAGTAGGTAGCGTAATTGCTATGACAGGAGAAGGAACATCCTACTGCCTGTATCGCACCACTGGCTTTACGCGACTCTCAAAAGCTCTGCGTCGCGTGATAGTGTGACTACAGCATTACGCTCTTTACCATCTCGTGTTTGAATATGGCTTCATTACTGAATACTAAACAGTTAATAGACGGGACAACATCAAGCTTGTTAAGAGGCTTAAAGACACAATGTATTTCACATCATGACATCTCACTGAGTAAGGTTAAAGTACTTGATTTGTTTTTCCACAGTTCAATTCAATTCCATCAAAACAAAAGACAGAAATAAACGCAACTCATGGTGGAATTAAGCATACCTTGCTCAGAAACTGCATGCACATGCAGTGGCACACGACTAGTTATGCGTGACTTGATATGCCATTGTTTTAATATACTCAGTAAGCCTACATAAACTCTTCGTCCTTGCCTAGATTTGATCGTATCCTAAAGATTACGTTCTTCCAAAACTCCTATTTTAACCAAAATGGGTAATGATGCTGGTCTTAAGGAGTGTTTTTTTCTTCTCCTAAGGATACCAAGGGCTGAATACTATTAGCACTCCTGGCTACATGTATTTCCAAGCTTCCCTGAAAAATTTGCTAAAGCATATCCAGAAATTTCTTCCCATCAAGTCCCAAATATGGATTAATGTTCTAACCAAGGAACATTAATGATGCAGTAGGGATTTGAACCCAGTACCTGAAGGTCAACATTACAGCGCCTAATCCACTATACCACGAAACCCCAAGTAAAGGACTAACGTCACGTACCACTATCACACAATTAAAGAATGAAATTACAAGTAGAAGTAATCTAGTCACAACAAGCTCCTTGTCCAATAAAAAACCATGCAGAATTGAAGCTATATGTAATCTCTAATGATGTTAACCAGGGACCCGTTTCACAAAGCCTTTTTTGCAATGACAAATGATAAAAATCAAAGACAGATCAGTTGATATCCAATCAAAAGCAAGGATTTCAGTAGCTTATAACAAAAACTGTCATTTGTCACTGATGACAAGTTTTGTGAAACGCCCCCCAGATTAGCCAATTATGGCGGTTACAGAATCAGGACCGACTAAATGAATTCAATTTTGTGTTATGTCAGACACTGTGATATGTACTCTTACCTACATTCTATACAGGCCTTACATTTTCATGTTTTAGACAGTTTTCTTTTTTCCTTTTTTATTTTTGTGTAGCAAATGAAACAGAACCCCTTCTTTCTTGTCACGTCATTAAACAAAGGAGTACATGTTAGTTTGACGGCTGACTGTCAGTTCGAGACTATAGTCTTAATCTTTGTCAGCAAATGCATCCCTTTAGCTTGATAACCCGATCATAATGTCCACTTTTAAAGAGGATATAATATATACTTAACATTATTAAAAAACCAAGCATGTTTTACACGCTTGGTAATATAAGATAAAGCAAAAGCTTAGATAATGAAAAGGGGCTATACGTTAGACTCAATAGGGCAACATTGTGTGGGTTTTACTTTAACTTATCCCGTCCAATGATTCAGTGTGGGCAGGGGCGGATTGGCGCTAAAAGGAGATTGGGGAATTTAATATTTCCTTATGTAATTCGTTCCCAACCGACCCTCAGACCATAAATCGAGGGTTCAGTGACACAAAGATGTAACTCCATATTTTGCCAAAATGAGTATTTGATATAAAAATGTTCAGAAAAATGTGGGCTTTCTAAGAAACACAAAGACTTAACTCCTTACGGCCCAAGTACTCAAAATGGCCAAAATGGAATTATGTCTTTGTGTCACTGACCCCTCAAAATGGATCAGCCTTAAAAAAAAAAATATGGAGCGGCCCGTGTGTAAACTCTCCAAACTCCCCTTGAACAGTCCACCCCTGAGCAAAGGATGGGTGAGATGTAGGGCCTAGATCTAGGGCGTAGATCTAGGACTTGTTCGCGGCTCTTTCTCGGTAGAGCCTGTTGAACTGCTCTAGGAAGATGAAGGTGAGTACGGTGTGCGGTCCCAGACGGGTGTAGTACGGAGTGAAGCCCTTCCAGAGACTGAAGAATCCTTCGCTGCGTATGGTGCGTGACAGTACATCCTGTGGACAAAGAGAACAAGACAGGTTAGAAGTTTCTACAGCTAAGCAAGGCCATGGAAAATAGAATAACATCTTTTGAAATGTGGATTTAGAGAAGAATGATGAAAATATCCTGGAAACGAATGAAAACCAACAAAGAGATATTGCACATGGCAGGGCGTAAACAAATTGCACTGGTAGGATTAGTAAAGGAGAGAAAAGTCAAATACTTTGGTCATGTCAAAAGGCACCAAAGCCTCTTAGAGGATGTATTGGAGGGAAGAGTGGAAGAAACTAGACCGAGAGGGAGACCTGGAATCAACTGGGAAGAGAATGTCAAGAACTGGAGTGGACTAAAACTGCACCAGAATGGCAGAAGATAGAGTGAAATGGAGAGATGTTGCAGTCAACCTCTGAACCAGGAGAAGATACTTAGATAAATAGAAGAGAAGTGTGGAAAGAAGTTCAAGAATCGATCGTTCTCCTTCCTGCAGTGTCTGGGCCCGGGTGAGTGCTGTACAGAATGAAGCCAGCATCTGTGATTGTGAAACCCCTTGCTGCTGAATATGAGGTGTCATGATCGAGTGGATATGTCACCGGACTGCGGACCACAAGGTCTGTGATTCGAGTCCTGCCGCGGCACTAATGTCCTTTGGCAAGACATTAATCTACATTTGCCACACTCAACCCAGGTGAGGTAAATGGGTACCTGATAGGATTATTCTTTGAAATGCACTGATAACAGCTGCTGGAGCTAAAGCTAGGGTAATAATTTTTTTAAGCTCTTTGGAAGCGCATAGAGATATTATTTCATAACGTATTATGCGCTGTACAAGAACTGAATATTATTATTAATCAACTAGGATTAGGCCACTGTGAAACCCTACAGAGAATATTATGTCAGCACATTCTTAAAGAAGAAATAGAGAACAAGGGAGATATTTAAAGTCACTATTATCAACCAAGAGTATTACATGGTGAAACCCTACTAATATTGGGGCATGTCTGTACATCCTAAAGGAAGATTAGGATTAAGTTACTACAGAATTATAAGATTAGGTTATGGTGAATCCCTACCAAGAATATGTTAAAGGTAAAGACCAGTTATGGTCATGCGATTGCATTGTGAAAGAAACGTTGTGGAATCGATCAGAAAAGGTTGATCATCTAGCATCTAGCATCTGCAAGGTTCTGGAATCATCAAAATGATAAGAAATTAGGCCCATTCTTCGTAAAGTTACAAGCGCTATACACAGAAAGATGTATATGGGACTACCCTATATCTCTCACAGACCATGAGAGAAACAAATTTACCAAATATATGAATTAGTAGGCGGTTTCCCGGCAAATTTTTTATCATCATGTATTAGTCAAAACATATTCTTTCACATGATTGGTAATGAGAGCTTCCATTTCATTTTTTGAAATTGGGGCGTTTCCAATACTGGTCTTTACCTTTAAGTCAGCACATTCTAAAAGTAGAAATAGAGAACAAGGGAGATATTTAAAGTCACTATTATCAACCAAGAGTATTACATGGTGAAACCCTACTAAAATTGGGGCATTTCTGTACATCCTAAAGGAAGATTAGGATTAAGTTACTACAGAATTACAAGATAAGGTCAAGGTGAATCCCTACCAAGAATATGTTAAGTCAGCACATTCTAAAAGAAGACATATAGAACAAGGGAGATCGAATCACATGGTGAAACCCTACTGGAATTGGGGCATGTCTGTACATCCTAAAGGAAGAGTGAAAAGGGTAGGATTAAGTAACTACAGAAATACAAGACTAGGTCAAAACCATACTGCATATGCTGCACATCAGTACATCCCAAATTAAGAGGGTATAATGTATAAAAACCCCTTCCAGGTAATAAAGAATCCCTGCGTATGGCATACGCCTGTACATCGTCGAAGAAATAGAGCTTAAAATTGGTTAAAGTTACTGCTGTCCAGCAAGTGCACCACTCGGACAAACCCATCCACAGGGCTAAGGATCTCTAGCTCTGCGAGATAAAAACATGGCCCAAGTTTGGCAGAAATCCATCAATTGGTTCTTGAGATAATGCGATCACAAAAACAGGACATACAGACAGACGGACATGTCAGTACATCGTGGACGAACAGAGAACCAAGTAGGGTCAAAGCGATAGTCCAGCCTGATCTAGCAACAAGCTACATAGAAAATCACCCGCCCATCAATTCATTCTTTTGTCTTGCTCAATGCAGTTTGTATACAGCTTTTAGTGACCAAATGTAGAGCAAGACCAACTCTCTATAATGAGCACATTGTATACATGCCAGTTTCCCTTGAAAACGGTATTATAGTAGTTTGCACAAGTTTAGGACTGTCCGTAGAAAATGTATTAGTTTGAAGAAAAACCTTTCCGATACTACATACACACCGTAGCAACCATATTCTAGGTGTTATTATACCATTAGTCCTAGAAGAGGGCATACTATACACTGTACATTGATTCACTGTTCATGGTCGACAGCTAAATTATTGCCCGCACCATCGAATGAACGGAAGCTCTGATACCCATTGAATCAATATTCGAGCCAGGAAAAAAGGAACAGCGCCATCGAATCATCACTGATGAATAACTTGAAAAACAGTTTAGCCAGGCAAAAATAATCTTTTCAGATTGGACAGCCTTATAAACCCAACAACAACAACAAGATTGTAACCGTAGCTGCCAACAATTGAAATTGAAATTGAGGGAGATGAAAGTGAGAAAGAGAATGAGAGAGAGAAAATGAGAGAGAGAGAGAGAGAGAGAGAGAGAGAGAGAGAGAGAATGAGAGGGAGAGAAGGAGAGGTAGAGAAAAGTGGAGGGAGGAAATAATGGTGCATATAGTGCAGTAGGGCACAAAATGTCCTGGACTTGTCTATAGATGCACATGTACAATACTTACAATGGCACCCCTGTATTCAGGCTTTCCATCTATTATCCTCATGTTCTGGATTCTGCGAGAGAGAGAGATGAAAAAAAGAAGTTATAACAGTCTGCTGGCTATAAATTAGGTCCCACATCATCAATAAAGGATAGCCTCCAAGGCCTATATTCACCAAAAATCCAACTGAGCTTGTGCACCAACTATGTACTATAGCCTACATGTATGGAATAAGTTGATAACTAACTTTAAAACAATTTTTTTAGAGCATCAATATTGCACCCCCGATCCCCCCACTCCGGGGTCGAAACGACCCCATGCGTGTTACCAAAATGTCAGGTAAAGGGGTACTTTTCGTGCGACAAAATCTGGCACGAGAATCGTAAAAAAAGGGGTGTATTAACTTTTCACCCGGAGATTTCTTTAAAAAAGGGGTCTTTTTTTCTTTTTTTCTCTCGTCTCTTTGGACTCCTGAGAAATTATTCCGAATTTAGGGGGGTACATTGAGCATTTTTCATGATTTAGGGGGGTCTCCAAGGCAGGAAAATCCTGCAAAAAGCCAGCGAAAGGGGGGTTCGGAAATGTTGGCAGTCCTCAGATAGGAGGTGCTTTCAAAAAGAGGGAACGAGCATATGCGTACCCTAAATAACACTAAGTGGGGGGGGGGGGGGGGGGGGCCGGGATTGCACCATATTACGGACACTGATAACACGTAGGGCCATTGATTGTAAGGTTCTATGAATATGGGCCCTGGAGCTTGCGATGGAAGAGGTATTTGATAACAGTGTTGTACATGAGTTTATACCGAGTAGCCTTCAGAACCGGCTCTTATTGAATCAATGGTATATCCAATACCTTTTCCTCATAATTTTCAGTAAAGTGATTTTTCATTGTTGTCAGTAATATTTGAATATATTTGAATATGTGACTTTTGACCTTGTGACCCCAAAATCTACTCAGTTCATCGGCTCTGCAAGATACATACATGACCTAAGTTTGGCAGGATTCCATAAATTGGTTCTTGATATAATGCGAACCCAAGAACGGGACGTATGGACAGACAGATGGACAACCCCAAAACATATGATAATACCCTATTTACAACCGCCAAGCCAAAGCTGAAAGATTTGATAGATGCTCCGGCAACAGAGATGTAGGGTTAGGGATGTAATTGGGTTTTAGGTTAGGATTACAGTTAGGACTAGGATTTAGGTTTAGGATTAGAGTTAGGTATAGTGCTGGGTCTGCGGCTTAGGTTCAGGAATTTGTTAGCCAATGAAATCGACTTCAGAGCAACTGCACCTGGAGCTTACATCATAGAACCCAAAGTCCCCCCACCCCCCCCCCCCCCCTCCAAAAAAAAATAATTCCCTAAATATACATATACATACCTGCCAACCACCCCGATTTAGGCGGAGTTCCTCCGCATTTTTCATACCAACTCCGAATTCCGAATGCATGCCTCAAAACTCCGATTTTTTTAAATTTTTAAATTTTTTTTTTTTTTTTTTAATTTTTTTAAATTTTTTTTTATAGTGTAATGCACTTGGAGAGTATATAACTATTATGTTTGTATTTCGAAATGTAAAGCGCCTTGAGCATGTTCATGTAAAGGCGCTCAATAAATACCAATATGTATGTATGTATGTATAAGACTAAAGCATAACACAGCACTGATAACCAGATCACGCCAACATCCGCGCTCGCGCTCATAGAAGATATACACAGCGCAGCCCAAACGTGATCGTTAGTTCCCCCCCCCCCCCAATCTACGGGCTACTACCCCAATCCTTCGGTGGTTCGCGACCTCGTAGTCCATCCAGAAAAATTTACTCCTAATTTCTCTTGTCTCAGGTTGGCAGGTATGCATATATATATATATATACAAACCTTGTTTTGGCAATATCGACTGGCATTGATGCAATAGTAGTCACTAGACCGCTGATCATACTAGCACCAAAATGACAAAAGAGATTATCTTGGAAGTAACCTGAAGAAAAGAAATGAGAAGAAGAAAACCCAGTAGGTAGCTTAGCAAAAATGTAGTGGGACAAAAAGTCGCGTCCAAAACGCAAAATGCATAATTCATGACATTTATAGTTTCATCACCTAGAGTTAGAACCACATGGTTATATGGTAAGGAGCTTGTAAAGACATGTACTATCTCAATTAGGCTTAAGGGGGGTGTAGCATGACGAGACTAAATGTCTTTCCCATGGCCTGACCCAGGGCAAATTGGGTTTAATATGACGACGGAAAACGGGACTGCAGTATTCTTGTGCGTGCAACCATAATAGGTCCACGGTGCAACATACGCAAACTCTAGCGCGCGCTGACCGTTAATCAAGTCCATTCGTTTACGTGCAGTTGTCCAAAAGAAGTCGTAGATGGCGTTAACCAGTATTTGCCATGCTACACCCCCTTTAATGTTAACTAGACTTCCATTGAGATATGTCAAAAATAACTTTTAATTAACATACATCACTGACTATCATGGCATTTGCGTTCTGGACGAGTCTTTTTGTGCGACTATATTTCAATAAGCTACCTTTACTACTATTACAAAAACAAAAATAAGAAGCATGAACAACCAGGATAATTACTAATTACAGGGGGGGGGGGGTTGAAAGACAGAAGGACAAGACAACATGCAAGAAAAATAAAAATTGTAACAACCAACGGTAATTAATCATCATTGCATGAGGACCTCGTTAAGGAGTGCGTGCAAAGAAATTAAAGGTCATTTCAACAGTCATTTTAGATTAATTGTTCTTGAAACAGCCACTCGAGCTTCCTTTGCAATGGAAAACTTGAATCAGACAACAACAAAATTGTCCATGGGATGGTATTCTCTATGGGTAGCATTCTTTTTTGCATGCAATAGTTGATGCTATGTCAGGCAAGTGCCAGGCAAGTGTGGGCCGTAAACATCATTGTGAAGTTTTACAGAGTCTAGAATTTCACAACATGAAAGAATGAGCTGGCAATGGTCATTTGAGTATGTGTGGCAAAAACAACAACTTGGAGGTGTACCGTGTTGCTGTTATACGCAAAAATATTGGTACATAAGCATAGTCCCTTGTATATTCAATTCAATTTAATTTGTTTATGCTTCCAACAAAACATTTCAAATCAATTATAAACATTTGCAACAATTTAGGGATACATTTTGGAAACAGAGGGGTCCACTGAAAAGCAATGCTTGTACAATTGTGTAACCCTCAAATGAAACTTAGGAATAATGAGTGATTAAATTAACAAATTCATAACTACAAAAGAAACTATGAAATAGTGAAAAAAAAGAGGGGATGCCAACAGAGACGAGAACGGGATAAGACAGTTTATAGTACTTACAATGTATCTCTGTATGACTATCCTATTTAAGGAAAGGGTAATACATAATTAGCAGCACACACTTACCTGTTCCTAGTAGGAACTGTTTAGCCTGTGAGTAGGATGCAAGCTGAGCTGCGTTTACCACCATCGCCCTGGCAACCGTCGGACCGCATCCCTAGGAGAGAGAGAGAGAGAGAGAGAGGGAGGGAGGGAGAGAGAGGGAGGGAGAGAGAGAGAGAGAGAGAGAGAGAGAGAGAGAGAGAGATAAACAATATAATTTAATATGCCTCTACAATTAATTCTCGCCATCAAAACTGTGTTGCTAATTGGTAGCTATCTTTCCTTTTCTATTGTGATACTCCCCTTTGATTGATTGATTTGAGTTTATTCCATTTCATATATCAATTGTTTGCATAATAATGAACATAGTTGACAAAGTAAGTTCAAAATTAGGAAATGAAACTCTAATCAGTTCATTTTCAGGATTTGGGTACAAATTCTACTACAATTGAACCATTCTAATGCTCTGTTCACTTAATCCATGGCTAATTGCATTGGTTTACTGCAGAGGTTTTTAAAGATAAAGTTGAGTTCTGGTCATGCGATTGCATTGTGAAAGAAATGTTGTGGAATCGATCAGAAAAGGTTGATCATCTAGCTTATAAGTATTGGTGTGTGCTGCAAGGTTCTGGAATCATCAAAATGATAAGAAATTTGGCCCAGTCTTGGTAAAGTTACAAGCACTGTACACAAAAAGATGTATATGGGACTACACGAACATGTGACATAAAAAAAATCTGTCCCGATTTTTATGATGTTAAAATGCCATATTTATAATATTAGGGAATTTGAAGAGTCATGCTTTTTAGGGAACATTTTTAATCTGATGTTCTTCCACACTTGCATAATACAACGATTATGCTCACAAAATTATTTTTCACCTCTTCCCAGAACTCAACCTTCTCTTTAACTGTACTGCGCTTCTCTTTATTTTACATGTGTCTCGTAACAACACACAAGTAAATGAGTACCCAAAGGATCTTTTTTTTTACTGCATCCAGCTCCTTTTTTCATCCCCAGTAGCTGACTTGCCAGTCATTCACATGCAAACAAAAAACATGGCCCTTTACTTTCTGCCCTAGCGTGCTGGTCAGAGCCATCTATACGCAGAGTTTGGCCAACCCGGTTCGAGTCGGACACAATATGGCGACTACTGCTTTGTTGGGCAAGCACAAAACAAAAGAATATACGCCATGTTGTGACCCAGTGAAACCAAGTTGGCCAAAATCTGTGTTTAGATGGCTCTGGTACTGGTCATTACCCAGTGCCATCTCATGGTCAACTTGCCAACAGTGCGTAACCCAATATCAAATTCCCACTTTGCAGACAGAGGACTTGAAGCGAGAACCAACAGCGCAGCTAGGGAAGGCAGCGAGTTACGGGACCATACTGCCACAGCTGACCTGAGATGGCATTAGAGGGGAGTTGGCGGTTGTACTTCTAGTACAGCATGGCTTTAAACTTTAGAGGTGTCGTGGCCGAGTGGATATGTCACCGGACTGTGGATCTCAAGGTCCGCGGTACTAATGTCCTTTGGCAAGACATTAATCTACATTTGCCACACTCGACCCAGGTGAGGAAATGGGTACCTGGTAGGATTATTCCTTGAAATGCACCGTGCTCTGACAACGGCTGCCGGAGCTAAAGCTAGGGTAATAATTTCCAAAGCTCTTTGGAAGCCCATAGAGACGTTATAATGTGATATGCACTACAGTGTGAGTAAAAAAAAAGGTTTACATATAGAAAATTGCTTTTTAAAATCATCTATGAAGAGTATATTATTATACATCTAATATGAAAGAGAGTTTTATCCCAAATCAAGTCGATTTTTGCACTCCTGCAAACAATGTCCCCTGTTCAACCAAGCGTGAACACATACCACACAAACATGGTACCAAATGATTTGGGATAGATAAAACACTCTTTCATCAGATGTATAATAATATACTGTTCATAGATGATCTATAAAATAATTACTGGTAGCAATTTTCTAGGTGTAAACTTTTTTTTGACTCACACGGTATACAAGAACCAAATATTATTATTAATATTTTTAATTCATTTGTTAGAATATGAGAACGAGAAGAGCCTACCCTCCACAGTGTCAAGAGGCCTTCTTCTCTTGTGATCCTGGCCAAGGCATTGAAAACACTTGTATAGCCTCTTCTCTCAGCCACTGGCAGTCTGAAAATACAATCAAACACAAGGATTAGTAATTGGTTGAGTGGATATGTCACCGGACCGTGGATCACAAAGTCCGTGGTTCAAGTCCTGCCACGGCACTAATGTCCTTTGGCACGACATTGATCTACATTTGACACTCTTAAGTTAACAGATACACACATGGGGAAAACAATTATATCCACGTAAAGGACACTTTCGAAGATTACTTCTATGTTATCATTACGGTATTAATGTTATTACTACAACTACTAGTTCTAATTAAACTAATACTTCTTTTATCATCATTGTTGTTTTTATCATCATTCTTCTTTAAGATGTTCATGTGTGGGTATATAGTTGTTCGTGAAGTAGGTGACTTGGCGATCACTACCTACATGTACCACTGAGCCAATGGGTATTACGCTCCTGTGCGTACATCTGTGTGCTGCCCTCTATATACCCACGCTTGGGTAACTTTAATATTAGTAGCAGTACCACCATTAGTGTCACAATTAATATCATGTCGTACAATCTTGATACCTACCTTCCATCTGAAGTCATTCTGATTAGAGAGATTTCAGCCGGTGTCCCTACAAACGCCCCTATTGCTCCAGATATCATACCTACACCAGGGGAAAAATACACACAGCATCAACATGAGGATGCGCAAACCAAGCAAGGCAGAAATTTACACAGGATACACATTACGATAGTGCTATATTCACATTTCACTTCTTTCTACCCTGCTATTATTAAAGGCATTGTTTAAAGGTGAAATTCAAAGAAAATCACAAATATGTCAACTATTGTATTACTAAAAACTGGTAAGCTAACTGATGGCCATAGTACAAGTTTTAGGTCAACTACATATCAGCTGATTTATAAAAATACAAATACAACCACCTCCATAGCAGCTGGGGTATACAAGAGATTCGCCGGAAAAATAACGATGTTTTAATGACGTCACTATATGGACCAATACTGCCCAAGCAGACGACATCCCATAAAGAATGAACATGATTGCAAAGCTATTATTTGTTAAATTATAATGAGTTTAGTGTATATAAATGTAATGGCAAGTCAAACCATTCAAAAGGGGATATGACCCGATTCTGATAACTAAAATCTTTTGCTTGTAAATACACAGGATAGGGGTTAATTAACAATCAAAGAAACCAGACTTTTAAATTGAAAACCCCCCGGAATGATATTAAGGACGGCATTTGTTCCCTCTTGAAACGCCGAACATTCCGCGGTGTGTCCAGCTGAATATACAATGGCATCTTATTTTGTTTACAAGCGACAGATTCCTTTATTTTTGCATTTGTCATAAAAATAAAACCATGCGCGGGGTTTAGAGTGAGGCAATATATTATACATTTAGCCTGACGGTAGTGAAGTAAGAGAAAGAACTCAAGAGAAGATGAAAACATAGGCACTGAAAATGTGTGAGATGTCATGGGACATCGTCTGCTTGTGCAAATCATGTTCATACTGTGATCTCACACATCTCAGCAGTGTTCGGAGAGCTCTTCAGGTGTTATGCCGGTGCTGTATTTAAGCGTTTTGTAATTTATAATCATCATTACTTCAAATGTTTCCAAGCATTGAATTTTGATAACCTTGTCGAATCAAAGTTTCAACTTTGCAATAATGAAAATAAAGTTAGTTTTTAAAATCAATGAATATCTACTTTAACAATGTTTCCATTTTTTACAAATCTGAGATGCATGGCCCTACGTGTTATCAGTGTCTGTGATATGGTGTATTAAATATTGAAGCCCTAAAAATGTTGTGCTTCAAAATGATCATGAAGTGCTTCAAAAAAGTAAAATTTGAGTGACCAGTTTTACCATGCTCATTATTCCCAAATGAAGTGTTATAAAAACTGTTAGGAAAATGTTTTTTGAAATTCTGATTTCCAATCATTAAATATCTTGATAATCAGACAGGCGATCGGCTCGTAACAGTCTTGGGTTTCCTGACTGACCTAAAGGTTTATGATTATGATTGGAGCATGAGCTAAATCCACGATTTTGTTTAGAATCTGAAACAAAGATACCCAATCCCTTTAATACTCTGTGAATCATAATGGTTGACCTTTGGCCTTCAATGTTTTGTTTCTCACCTATGCCAGCCTTCATTAAAAATGGTGGAGGTTTCCCATCAGCACTGCGGAGGGAAAAGAAAAAGAAGAATTGCAATTTACATTAGAATCACAGAATCTTGCTGGTTTTGAGATCCCCTCTAAAACCTAAGACACTTGGTAAAAAAGGGCTGATGAGGGGCACTTTATGAAACTCGTCAAAAAGAATGGGACGTACCATAAATCTTGGGGGTGTATCGTGAATTCATGTGGGGGGGGAGGCATTTGCCCTTGTTTGTGTTTAATAAGCAATATATAAGTGAATCAAATTGGTACATTTTTTTAAGCTTATGAAGTCCCAACTTACAATGACCTTGACAAGATAGTCCCTGAAGCAGCTTTTTGGAGCCTTTTGGGATGGAAACACTGGAAACACATAGGCCCAAATTCACAAAGGAGATTTGTCGACAAACCTAGGTTTATGAACATAAACATGTGTCATATGACGCACATAAACCAAGGTCTGTCGACAAACCTCCTTTGTGAATTCGGGCCAATGAAATTGTAAAGCAAACCATTGAACCCCAAACCTCTCTATTCAAATGCTGACTTTGTCAACACCAAAGATCCCCTAGTGCTAGACTTGGGCACCAGCACTTTAAAGTGACCTGTGAAATTGAGTAAACCACCAAACCTTTCTTTTATAGACATTGGGCCAAATTTGTGCAAGCAGCGGTATTAAACCTGACTTAATTTAGTTGACTGATCTATCGATACCTAAAGAGTACTGTGGTTATAAAACCAAAATATCTATAAATCAAATTAACTTGGTCATGAAATGATAATGGTAAAGTAATTTCACTTTAAAAAAAAAAATGTTTGGGGGGGGGGGGTTAATTTTATTTACTTATAGAATTATGGCAATATGTGCAGGATAAAGAGAGTGAAATTCAGTATTGTATATCAGTGGACTGTCTCTAATTCTCTATGCACTTAGGTGGGGTTCAAAACTTGCAAAGGTAAGGTGGCTTTCATGAATGCATGCCCTTAGTTTTTTTATGACTCACCCTATAGCCATATCAAATAACGTTGTGTATATTCCCAGCCTGGTGGTGGTGTATGTGGCTTGTCGTAATAATCCAGCTGAGAGTCTAGCAAATTAGAGGAGAAAAAAAGAAATATTGTTTGGGTAAACAAAACAAAATGTGGAAATGTAGTTTGAGACAACCCTTTAAATTAGAATGAATTATTTTATGGGTTTCTTCTTAGTACATACAGTTGACAACTACATTATTCATATCTCTTGATATTTTAATATTCATCTTTTTATTTTTTTGGGTAACTCAAGAATGAAATGTGGCCTGGTTGAATTAGGACCTTTGTTGAATACTTTTAAAAGTAAGCTTTGATACCTCACATTCTCAAGAAACAAATATAGGAAAAAATCAATTTTTCACATTCTTATAAAAATTACAAATCTTGGCAAGGGTAGGAATAATTTTAGTTGATAACTGTATGTATGGAAACATATCTGTACTAGTTAGGCCAGGAGGGATTATACCTCCCTGCATAGTCTCTGACAGGTGGTTATCTCATTAGATCAGCTCTCAATTAACATACGAAAAAGGGGACCATGGGAGGGGGGGGCCCAACGGTCACCGCTTAGGCATTGTTTGCTATATAGAGGGCGCAAGTAGCTATAAGTAGTGCAGTGGGGCTTCAAATGGAATCATTATCAAACACATGGTACTACATGTACATGCTACTGTACCTTCAAATAATCCTAGCTACCAGTACATTAAATGAGATTTAAAAGGGCACGTTTTCTCTTGTAACACCCTGAGAAAAGCAGCTTAACCTCTCCTTTTGAAAAGGTATTTTATTCCATGATCAAATTTCGCTGGTACCCTGTCCCTTTTGAATGACTAGGGTAAAGTGCACTATGGTACATACCAGCATAATGTCAAAGGAAAGTGTACATTCATGTTTATAAATACGTCCATGTACTTTAAGAAATCTTCATGTGACATCAGAGAGTTCCTAACTTTTTTTAAACTAAAAAATTTGGTTTCCTTCCCCACATATGAATGAATGACTTCAAATTGCTCTCTTACTGACACATAATGGCATTTTTGTTTTGTCCTAAATTACCGGAATCGCACTGAATCGTCATTTGCATTTGCAACATTTGCTCTGGGCTATAAGTCGTCCAAGATACACATGCGGGGTAAGGGTCAGGTATGAAATTAGGTCTTTGGTTGGGTTTCAGGTTAGGATTAGGGAAAGTTTACAATGATTGCTCCCTTGTCGCACTTAAGGATTAGGCCTGTGTAGGAAAATTAACTGTGGAACAACAGTCGCTTGAACATGTGTCATGGAAATAAAACCCACTCGACAGAGGTGTTGTGGTCTAGTGGATATGTCGCCGGACTGTCGATCACAAGGTCCGCGGTTCGAGTCCCGCCGCGGCACTAATGTCCTTTGGCAAGATATTAATCTACATTTGCTATACTCCACCCAGGTGAGGTAAATGGGTACCTGGTAGGAAGAAATTTCTTGAATGCTTCAGCACCTTTTCATGGTAGCTCGGTTAAACCCGGAATAATGATAAGAACGCAGGGCCGTCACGGAGAACAGTATGAATACTGATGAGGCTACCCTGGGTAAAAAAGACATACATTTATTATTTCTATTATTATTATTATCATGCAACCTCACCCATTGTACAGACCAAGTGCTCCCTCCTCTTTAATAATACTTTTGATGGCATGAACACTGGTTTTATGCGCTTTGGCACCACCTCCTTCACCTGTAACCCAAATAAATAAAAAACAAAGGATGAATACAAACAGGAAGAGAAAAAGACAGAAAGAGGGAAAAAAAGAAAAAGAAAGAACAAAAAATTAGTGAATTTAAAGATAACGGTTAGTTCTGGTCATGCGATTGCATTGTGAAAGAAATGGTGTGGAACGGATCAGAAAAAGTTGATCATGTAGCATGTAAGTATTGGTGTGTAGTGCAAAGTTCTGGAGTCATCAAAATCATAATAAATTTGGCCCAGTCTTGGTAAAGTAACAAGCACTGTACACAGAAAGGTGTATATGGGACTACATAAATGGTGTCGGGGCTACCAAAATTGTTTGGTTAATGATATTTATTTGTAATCTTGAACATTCAGTGTAAGTTTCGTTTGATTCTGTGAGAATTAATTTTCTTTTTTTTAACCAGAACACACCTTTATCTTTATTAATGCTAGAAGAATTGAATTTGTTTTTCTTGCCAATACGAAGTGGTGAATGTTATTTCGTTACAGCCGTTTATAATCTACATGTATCAGGATAAAGGTTGAATATTTGGTACATGTTACTGCTCTCCTATTCATAAACAGAGACAAAGGTACAGAAGCTGTCTTCCTTGAAGATAGAAGTTAGTCATAATTCTGTAGCCTTATTCACTTCATCGATAACTCTCAGTCATTTCTACTATAATGGTAAGAACTCAAAATAAACTAAAAACAGAAAGATTAAAACAATTATCAAAAATAATATCGCTAGTGACATTCGTTTGTCTCGCAATGTATGGTCAACAAGCACAAGGGATCAAAAGGTCACGACGTTTCGTGCGCTGCTGCAACACTTCGTCAGGTGATAAAATATATTGTAAGCAAGCGTCCTTTAAACTCTAGGGGTGGACCAGCGGTCAAATAATTGATGTTGTTCCCTTGTTGACCATACATTGCGAGACAAACTAATGTCACTAGCGATATTATTTTCAATACTATATCCGCAATGAGTAATATATTTAGCATTAAAACAATTATTCTCAAAGCTTAGAAGGAAGCAGGTGATAACAAGCAAGAAAGCTAAAAGTAGAGGCTGACACTTGTCTTTTCTATTCCAAACCCTAGTGATAAAGTATGCCAATTTCAAGAAGTAAAACTGAACAATCTAGTCCTTACAGGAACATGAAACCCTTATGTTTTGTTGGGTTTCATTTTCATTTTAAGACATTGTAGTCTTGAAAGTTATATCTGAGCTACATCCAGTCAACCTGTCCATAGCGACCACCCAAGGAAACACAAAAGTGGTCTTTGTAGACAGGTTCCTTTAGTACATGTTTCAATGAGAAACCATTTTCAAAGGAAACAAAAAATGTGGTCTTTATAGACAGGTGGTCTTTGCAGACAGGTGGTCACTAAAGCAGGTTTGACTATATTATGAACTCACCACTCATCTGCATCCTGTTCTTAACCAGGTCTAGAGGCTGGACAAATACTGTAGCTGCCATTCTATCAAAAAGAACAAAGAAGAAATCATTCTTGATTTTTATTTCAAAAATCAAATCACAAGCACTAAAAATTAAAGGTCTATGAGGTTGTGATCCAGGAGGGTGTTTCACAAAGATCCTAAGTTGGACTTAACAATTACGGAAAGCCATTAAATGTTGTACAAATTATTTTAAAAGGCATCAAATGCTGATTTAAATAATTCATATTTTCTATTATCAAGGACATTTCATGTTCTTGATGTGGAATTTATAAAAAGTCAAAAATACTTTAATTTTCACTTTTTAATATATTTTATTTCAAGAATACAAATAGCTTTTCATAATTTTTAAGTCCAACTTAGAATTAAGTTCGCCTTAGGATCTTGGTGAAACCACCCCCCTTCCCCCTCCCAGGTCTCAACACTCACAGGCGTGCTAATCAGTTCATGGTGATCTCAACTGGCATACTGCCATCTACTGAGGCCATTAAAAAAAAATATACATGTTTAGCGTCCCCGCCCGCTTCCCTTTTTTGGGGCCGCCTCCTATTTTTTTTTTTTTGAAATTGAAAAAAAAAAAAAAAAAACGTCGGCGGCAATCTTGAAAAATAGCCCAACTGTCAGGGAAAATGTACCGAGCGGCCATTTAGAAAGAAGAAACAAGAAAAGGGCCTCCTCTTTCCTATTTTTTGAAAAAACAGGACGCTAAACATGTTTTGTTTTTTATTTGGCCTGATATTATTTAGCATCCCTCATCACGACATCCCAGTGTCGCACTGCATGCATTTCCCTCATATGCAGCAAATTTTACGGAAGCGTCATCAACACATGTCAGAGGTCAACATCATAAAATGCAGATCGTCAAGTCATCCGTTACATGTGGAAAGGAAGCAAGCTATATTGCTCTGGTAAGATAATTGCTAATTTTAGGTTATTTTTACCTTTTGTTAGCGCTTCATTAGGAGTAGGAGCGGGATAGCAAATGTTAGCCAGCTACTTGTGTTGGTAGTGTGTGGGAAGCCGGAAGGGGTGATTTCAGATGCATTTTTTTATTTTAGGGCTTGTTTACCTGCCTCTCCGCGCGCCGCGCAGGTCTATGGGCACCAGTTAGGGCCTAGGGCTTGATATCAATATCATATTTTACATTATCACCAAGCCCTAGCAAAACCCAGGAAATTTTCACCAATGTAACTTAACTGTATTAGTATTGTACAGGTGAATTAGTAATTTACATTTGAGTCGACATTCGTTACTCGATCATATATTCATAATCATCAACATTGTCATTCTTAATCTCATTGATTATTTAAATTGTTTAAATCAATATCATATCATTTGAAAGTATCATACAGCAGGTTTTACAAAATATTGCATGAATGTAATTCAATACAGTGTAACCTGTCTTAAGACACAGCCAGGATGGTAATGCTGCTATGTGTGATCTTCTGATCACCGGGGACTTCAATTATCCTCACATTGATTGGGGGTCCTATGCTGGAAGAAGTGAGGTAGATCAAGAGTTCATGGAAACTGTAGCCGACTGCTTCCTATATCAACATGTCAGTTTTCTCACTAGACAAAGGGAAGGTCAGAGAGACAGCACCCTGGATTTGGTGTTTTCAGATAATGAGTTCTTGATTGATGAAATTGTTTCATTGCCCCCACTGGGGCTGAGTGACCACCTTGGGCTCTGTTTTACTATCACCTTATCGGCTCCAGAAGCAGACAGACGACCTCCAAAGTTTCAATACAACATTGGGCGATATGATGACATTTGTGAGGAGCTTGAGGAAGTTAGGTGGGAAGAGACTATGAAGGATATGGATACTGAACAGGCTGGTCGTTCTTTCACACAACATTACAGAAAAGATGATGAAATGTATTAGGGCTGTGCACAACAGTGTAATGAGGTACCCGAGTACACTCCCAGGCTCACAGGCGAATACTCGAATATTCGGACGCCATGTTTTTTTATCATTTTTTTGAATTTTTTTGAATTTTTTGGATTTTTTTTTAATTTTTGGATTTTTGGATTTTTGGATTTTTTCCCTTTTTTTTCTTTTTTTGCCACTACCATACCACTTGGCAGTTTCTCAGGTCCCTCGCTGAAAACGCATGCAACTTTACTTTGAGTTGCAGGTGAAGGCGCCGATTTAATAAGAATAATAACAGTAAACAATGCTGTTTTAAAAACCAAAGATGGCAGAAAAATCCATTTTCCTCCAAGTCCAAACAGAAATCTGGACATTTGGTCCCAGTTTCTGAAAGGTGAGTTTGACAGTGCTTGAGTTGGGAAACATTTTTACCGACGGTACCATGCCAGCGGACGCCGCTCTCCCTGGCACGGGTAAGCGTGGGCCTGGACATTTTTTTTTTTTTTTTTTTTTTTTTTCATTTTTTTTTTTTCTTCAATTTTTTTTTTTTTGCGACCAAATATTCGGGTACAAGAAATCGTACCCGAGTAGTTGTCAACCGTGCGGGCACTCGAGCATTCGACTACCCGTCGCAGCCTTAAAATGTATCCCGCGTTCTGCTTCACGCCGACGAATGAAAAAGCACTGTTGGATGAACAAACAAGCAAACATCCAAAAGCATTCTGGAGATATACCATAGTCTGAAAACATGAGGTGGGCTACCTGACCTCAGAAAGACAGATGGACCTTCGCTACATCAAATGAAGAGAAAGCAGATATCTTGAACACTTTCTTTGAGACAACCTTTACTGACGAGGACACTTCTGCTATACCAGTTCTGGAATCTAGGCAACCTCCCGAATGCTTATCAGCACTTGTACATCACAAACTTAGTTTGCTTTCCAAGTTCAAAAGTGCTGGACCAGATGGTATCCACTATCCATCCCTGTGTTTTACTTGAAACCGCAGCATCAGTGTGTATTCCATTGGCCATCATCTTTACCAAGTCATTTCAAGAGGGCAAACTTCCCTCAGCATGGAAAATTAGCCACGTTGTTCCTGTGCACAAGAAGGGGAGCAAGTTGGATGCTAACAACTACCGCCCAATAAGCCTGACATCAGTCCCCTGTAAGATCATGGAATCTCTCATCAGAGATAAGGTGGTTGAACATTTGATGTCAAATGATCTTTTCAGTGATTCTCAGCATGGATTTGTCCCAGGTAGATCATGTGTTACACAACTGTTCCACACTCTTGAGGAATGGACTGCCTGGCTAGATCAAGGAGAAAAGGTTGATGTTGTCTACTTAGACTTTCAAAAGGCATTTGACAGCATGCCCCACCAACGGCTGTTGTCAAAACTTGATGCTTACAAGATCCAAGGGAACTTCAAAACATGGATTGCTGATTTCCTTCATGGCCGAACACAGAGGGTGGTGGTAAATAATGCCAGATCTCAGTAGTGCAACGTGAAGAGCGGGGTGCCCCAGGGCAGCGTACTCGGCCCAACACTGTTTGTTCTCTACATCAACGATCTCCCTGAGGTGTTGGACTCCACTGTAAGAATTTACGCAGATGACACCAAGGCTTTCTCATGCGTCTCTACTCCTGACCAACGCAAACTTCTCCAAGCTGACCTGTGCTCATTGACAGACTGGTCCTCAAAGTGGCAACTCCAGTTTAACGCAAGAAAATGCTGTGTTTTACATCTTGGATCTGGAGGCTGTCAGGAGCGCTACATAATCGGGAGTTCAGCCCTGAGTACAGTTGGAGAGACAAAGGATCTGGGGGTACTTGTTGATGACAAACTGAAGTTCCACAGCCATGTGTCGTATGCCATCAACAAGGCCAACAGGGTCCTGATCAGCATCAGACGTGCCTTTCAGTGTCATGACACATCCACCATTCCCAAGCTGTTTAAGGGACTAGTGCGCCCCCTCCTTGAGTATGGAAATGTAATCTGGTCGCCAAGGTACATTTCAGACGCAAAAGCTGTGGAGAGAGTACAGAAGAGAGCAACAAAGATGATCTCCACAATGAAACACCTACCTTACATTTGGAGACTTAAATGCCTAAACTTGCCATCCCTTGAGTACAGGAGAAGGAGAAGAGACATGATTCAGGTGTACAAGATCATTTATGAGCATGACAGACTCAACCCTGACCACTTCTTCCAACTAGCAGACACACCAACAAGAGGGTATAGTCTCAAGCTGGCAAAGCCGAGGTGTAGGACAAATGTAAGGAAGAACACATTTAGACTAGATCTAGACCTCTACTCTAGTCACAGAGTGATTGACGACTGGAACTCTCTGCCTGAAGTAGTAGTTCAGGCTCCCACCATAGACGCCTTTAAAACCAGGCTTGATCGTTGCTGGAAGGAACAGTGTCATATCTCTCAATACTCGAACTGATTTCTTCAATTTCTTTGTACATGGATGATGGTAGTACTAGTAGGCCTACATTGTCCAGTCAAGATGCAACCTCTTGCCCCTCTAGTTCAGTTTAGACCTTCGCGATGGGGACAACTTCTTATTCACGTACGCAGGTGCGCATTTCAGCTCCCTATACGAATCCACATACATCAGGGTGAGCGCGCTTTCGGCCACACTTTCGTGAGCTTTCGTGGTTCTGCCGAAAAAAAACACTCGGTTTATTTCGGATTTCCCCGCCTTCTGATTGGTTAAAACAATAAAATATGACGTCATTTCTCTTCGACAATTATCGATGCACATCGGAAGTGAGTTGTACGTTGAATAACCATCGTAGTAGATGGTTTTGCTCAAATCTGCCGACAATGTGATGAAATTCAGATGGAAGGAGTTTTTCAACTAACTTACAACTCCGTAATTAACAAAATTAAACATCTTACCTTCTTTCCTGAAAGTTTCATATAATGATGATGAGTAGATCTTATGGTAGATATGATAATATGATTGCAGTTTTTGAAAATTGCACGAACTGATTTTGACGATGCGACGCGTGATGCGTGTACATAGTGTGTACGTGAATGAAACAGCTGTGTGAGTGACGTCGAGACCATTTCGTAGTCTTAGAATTCAGACCCGTTTGTGACTTGATTGACTTGTTTTTTCAATTTTTGTTTATTGTATGTCGTATTTTATTGATAATTGTGATATTTATTTTAATATTTCGAATAAATATTGTAATAATCTAACATGAATTGGTTACATTTTGGGGTAAAGTAACAATATTTTTTCGAAAAAACTGTTCATTTACTGCAAGATTGCTGCAAGTATAGACTACATAGACAATTTGTCACCTCATCCTTTTGTGTGTGTGTGTGTGTGTGTGTGTGTGTGCGTGCGTGTGCGTGCGTGTGAGAGAGAGAGAGAGAGAGACTAGGAGAGAAAGACCGAGAGAGAAAGACCAAGAAAGAAAGAAAGAAATAGAGAAAGAGAGAAAAAAAGAAAGAGAGAAAAAAAGAAAGAGAGAAAAAAAGAAACAGAGAGAGAGAGAGAGAGAAAGCGTGCGTGTGTGTGTGTGTGTGTGTGTGAGAGAGAGAGAGAGAGAGAGAGAGAGAAAGAAAGAAATAAATAGACAAGATCATTTGGTAAAAGTTTAGATTCAAACGGTTTTTATTTACCTTAAATAACAATATGATGACAAAAACATGGAAATTTGCATAAATTTGCATAAATTTGCATATTTTATTACGGTGCTGTTTAAAGATATTAAATTTCATATTTGCCAAACATCACTGAATATATTTGCCAAATTTCAGCGAGTTTGGTCATCGCATTGAAGAGATATGACTATTATGAGGCTTAACAGATCACAAACTTCTGAAAACAATGGTGCCACTGCTTAAACACAGGTTTAATTGACTTCAATACAATTATAATAGGTTAGGCCTAGACCTTTTGATCTTTTGTCCTCATCAATATGGTTCTGAAAATTATTTTAAAAATCCGTATCTCTGGAACCGTTGGTCCAAATTGAACAACTCAAAGTGCATTGTGTAAATAAAAATGTGATCTTTAAAATGATATAGAAATCACCCCCTATCTCCTACAAAAAAAAATCACCTGAACTGGGCTCTACCTCCCTGACCATCCTGACCATGCTGACTTGTAGACTATAGACTAGTCTATAATGAGAATTATTATTAAAGAGTATGAGTACAAGAAGATAGACCAAGAAGATAGACCTGGAAGCTCGACTGCTGTCTCAGCATTCTTCCAGTATTTGCCGTAAAGGTAAAGTAAAGTAATACTTTGTTAGTGTTACTTAGGCCTACACAATGAACAACTTGCTGACATGACAATATTTATTACATGTGGGACTGATGACTATCCTCGCAAGGCATTACTTAGGGGTTTGGGGGAAACTAGCTGCTTTATTCAATATTCTTAAGACGGAAAACACATCAAAGGCATAATATATCATATAGATGAATAACTTACCCAGCTGTTCCTCCGAAGAGGAATTTAATCGCATTTGGAATGGGCGTTTGCTTGGCATTTGATGACATTTTGACAATCGGGAAAGTTAATGCAATTGCCAACGTAGATGGCGTGCAAGCATTGTTTGTCGTCACGTAGACATTATTTTTAAAGCAAACTGTTATTGGTACTTTTTTTCTTCGTTCATTTCTTTCTCCGCCCCCGCCCCCTTCACCCTCTTTTAATACATGCCAAATTTGCCTGTATGATATTCCATTTTCCTTCCTCTTTCTCCATCTCAGATCATCTCAGATCAATGTATTCAAGTATTATTCCGCCATTAATCTCTTGTCATATTTTCTTATTACATTTCCTACATCATGTTTTCCTTCACTTGAGCAAATTATTATTTTTTTTATTTTTTTATTTAGGTGTTATTTCCACATTAACTGCATATGAAAAGAGTTTACAAAGTAAGGCAAAACAGGTACATAATATTCGAGAGATACAACTTTAAAAAAACGATTCAATGGCAAGTCATTAAATACAAGTGATGCTAACAATAATCTGCAGTAATGAGGAGGAATCATTGGAAGCATTATGCTTGTAATTAATTAGGTTCCCTTTACATAATACGTTTCTTTACATAATATATAAAAACAAAAAACAAAACAAAAGAAGAACAAAAACGGGTGTTTTATCGTTTCCTTTCTTTCCCCCTGCTGTGAATTCACTTGTTTGTATTTTCTTCATTTAATAATAATAATAATAATAATAATAATAATAATAATAATAATAATAATAATAATAATAATAGTGGGTTCTTGTATAGCGCTCATGTCAGTCAGATTTGACCCTCCTGGCGCTTCCGATTATTACCCTGGCTTTAGCACGGCTGCCATACGACGCTCTAGCATTTCAAGGAATAAATTCCTACCAGGTACCCATTTATTTCACCTGGGTGGAGTGTGGCAAATGTAGATCAATGTCTTGCCAAAGAACATAAGTGCGGTGGCGGGACTCGAACCGCAGACATCCATGAAATAATGATATCGAATTTTGAATTGATGAAGAAAGCGGCTAAGATTCTTTATTCACGCATCTTTTGTACACTGTCCTTTTATCATCACATTTCAATTCTTAGAATACAGCGGAAATGTTCTAGCAACTATAGTTCATCCTAACTTTTTCTTTGTGTGCCTCTAATGAGGTTTTTATTTACATTCAAACATCCAAATAATAAGGTTGTGAGAACAAATACAATTGACGTAAAATGTTATCAATAGAAATCACATATTTTCTCAACTATACATTATTTTGCTACTTTTCATCTATATAAAAAAAGGAGGGGGGGCGGTGTTGAGGGGGGATGCTGAGGGGGAGGTGTTCATCCCCCCCCCCCCCACAAAAATAAATAAATAATAATAATAATAATAATAATAATAATAATAATAATAATAATAATAATAATAATAATAATAATAATAATAATAATAATAATAATAGATAATAATAAAAAAAAAATTAATAAAAAAAAAAAATAAAAAAAAATAAATAAAAAAAAAATTAATGAATAAAATAATGCTGTTGTCTTTTCATTTCCAACCTTTCTCTTGCTGACTTCGATCCTTCCCCTTATAGGATATAGGAGAGGAAAGGAGACGAGAGCGAAGAGAGACACAGGGAGGATGGACAATTATATACAGGGAACGTGGGAAAGAGTGGAACGGAGGAGAGGTGAGAGATAAAGAAAGGGTAAGAGGGAGAGGGGGAGACAGAAAGCGAGAAAGAGACAGATAGACGGAGAGAGAGAGAGAGAGAGGGGGGAGTGGAGGAGGACGAGGAGGAGGAGGAGGAGAAGGAGGGTACGAGAAGTCGTTTTGCGAGAGAAAATTAATGCTGGGTGTTGAATTTACAAAGAAAAAAATAGGGAGACAGAGATGGGAGGAGAACAATTGAATGACATGTACACACATATAATAAAGAGAGAGAGAGTGAGAGAGAGAGAGAGAGAGAGAGAGAGAGAGAGAGAGAGAAAGAGATGGAAAGGGAAATGTTGAGATTCAGGGAAAGAGGAGAGGAAAAAGAAAGACAAAAGAGAACGTATGTTCGGTCTGATCTATACAGTATAGACAAGCACAACCTTTTATCTGTCTTTGTCACGTCAATTAATTATTAATTCTTCGTGAAAGATAATAGTTTCGCACCAAGTGGTCACTGCATGGTCAGCGGTGATTTTGAGCGGCGACGACCGGATGTTCGCTTCGACGTCGCCTCGCTTCCTCCCGACGGCATATCGCTTCGGCGGTGGCGCCCCCGTTCTGGGCATCGCCAAGATCTTGCCCTATTTTTATCTTTTAATTACTTAACAGCAAAGGGTTTGATCCTTAGCACTTAAGGATCAAACACTCTGCTGTTAGGAGCGAACGTTATTAAAAGGGGCAGGAACCAAGACGTCTGTACCATTGTATATTTTCACTCTTGTGAGGAATTATCTTGATGAAATAATGGTCGCTTGAGAAATGACTTGAGAAATGAACAATATCTACTAGTATGATTGATATTCTTTTCTTAAAGAGACTTGGAGACATTGTTAAAGGTTGATTGCTTAATTTTTGTATAAAATGTTACTTACTATATTCCTTCTACTGTATAACCCTCTGACATGCAAAAAAGCCTGAAAAAAAATTCTCAAACCACGAAGATATCTATGGTTTTCTTTGAAGGAGTCGATGTATGACACCCTCTAACCCATTTTTGAATTTTCCCAACCATTTTTCCATGAAAAAAAGACATAAAACAGGCTATAAAAAATCTGTCAACACTTAAATGTCTGGAATGGAATGTAGGACCATTTCATTGCTTTGCGACGATTTCCATTCACCTAAAATGTAATTAAATTGTAATAATATAGTTGGGAGAATTAAGGAATCGATCAGATCAGTTTTTCTCAATTTGTACCATGAATAATGGTCTTTAGCATCTAGCATTGAAGTCACTACCTTAGCACCGCTATCTCTCATCTGAACAATGTTACCAAGTCCCTTTAAATAATTATTTAAGTCAAAGAAGAATGCATGACCCCCCCCCCCCCCCTCAAGGGTTATTTATTTTATTTTCATTTTTTACCTCGCCTATTAAATCGTATTTCCTAACAAACAAATGAAACAGGAACTCATTACCAAGAAAAATGAAAAAACGGAGGAGGGAGGAGGGAGAAGAAAGAGAGGAAGAGAGAGAGAGAGGGGGGGGGGGTAGGATTTACCTCTCAAGGAGTTCTCATTTTGGTCGCTTGTATGGCCTGCGGTGCGTCCAGCTATTATTGTACATCCCTTTCCTGAAATACGAGTCTTGCTAGTACTAACATAATCGTCTACGATATCAAATTAATCAAACCGAGTAAATGAACACGGTTTGTTACCGCTGCATGGCGGCAGAACAATTTTAAGAGCCTTTAGCATGGTTAACCCTATAGGCCATCAATGATTCACGGTTTTTCGTGAAACCGTGGGGTAAATATACCAGTGGTGAGCATTTAGGGAGTGCACACCGGGCCCAAACAGGAGGGGTTGGCTATTTCATATTGGAGCTGCATTTTGCCATCACGGGGTCAATGATATTCTGTCTTTGGGGATGAAATTCTAACCGAAAAGTGGCGCCGAGCCCTTTTGAAGGGTCACGTCATCCTTTCGGTGAGAGCTTGACGAGCGAGTGAACGGACACGTTTTGCAATTTTCTTTCTTCATCCAGTCAACCTTTTCTTTCCCTTTTTTAAAGTTTGTTTGTCTGCTCTCTCTCTCTCTCTCTTTCTCTCTCTCTCTCTCTCTCTCTCTCTCTCTCTCTCACACACACACACACCCGAAGAAGTCATCCATTGAATCACAAAAGAGATTCACGATACGGTTTTCGATTTTACCATTATTTTTTTTTACCCCAGACTGCGTGAATAAGATTTTTGTTTTGTCACGGACACGTTTTGTAATTTGCTCCTCCATTATTCTAGCACTTCTGGGTCCTGTCGTACAAAGAGTTGATATTAATCGCGATTATGTACATAAGAGATAGGAGGCTGCAAACTTGCGATTGATTATTTTCCTCTCATTTTCCCTTCCCCCTTCTCTCACACCTCTCTTTTTGTCCGCTCTGTTGTGCATACAAGTCCTTCCTTGCTCTCTCTCTCTCTCTCTCTCTCCCTCTGTCTTCCTCTCCCTTTCTGACTTGAGACTTGTAACTTGAATTAGATGAATGGATGAACTTTATTGATCATCCTAAATCTTAAAATGATAGATAAATGAAAAGCATTAATTAAAAAAAAATAGAGATAATCACATGGTCCCGCATACAGGCGTTGGTATTGGGTAAAATGCGAGTTCGTAATTGCACACTGCGCAAGCGCAAAAATTGGGAACGAACTTTTCCAAAGGTCACATGAACATAAAGAGAGCTGAGAGAGGAACTGTAATTTGTTTGTGTGCTGGCCTTTCCGTCGTGAATGATCACATCTGACACATCAGTCACCGAAAATCATTTCTGAATGTCGGAATTGGTTCTGTATAGTAAACTTTACTTGGAATCTGATCATCGGTAAAGCATTATCGGCATTATCGTGAGTCCCCAGGATTCAGGGACACGTGTAACTCTGAAAAAAATGTCCTTACTTCCAAAATTGTATCCACCAAAGCGCGCGTTTAATGGATTATTACTTCATTTAGTCAAGCCAATTTATCTAGTAGGCCTATTAAAGTCCTTCACTATTTAAAATCAATGATCTATAAAGGGTGCTTTCTTTATTTGGTCATCAACAGAAACATGATTCTAGGCCACGGTCTTTTCGAAGCGTGACCAGATTCAAAGTATGCTTAAATGGGGGCATTGTTGTATGTAGAAAAAACAGGATTAAGATCCAATGCAAGGCTTCGAAACGTAAAAGAAGAAAAAGGAAGTTGAGATCGACCTTTATGTCTAGACGTTGCATAATGCATTTCGTATAGGTATTATCTTCCATCTCAGAGTGATTGTAGGATAATGCAGTTTAAGCTGTCTGGGTTTTTGAAGATAATGCTTCAAAACAAATCGACCAAGCTGTTTACTTCTTTATTCATGGTCTGTTTCTACTGTTTATCTAAT